ATTATTTTCATTGCTACTTCATAACTGTAATGTTGCTACTGTTATGAATCATCATGTAAATATCTGATATGCAGGATGGTCTTAGGTGACCCCTGTGAAAGGGTCGTTCAACCGCCAAAGGGGTCGAGACCCACAGGTTGAGAACTGCTGCTCTAGTGTCTAGGAGATCCGCCTGCCATAAGAACTATGATTCCCAGCATTCCGGGTGCCCCCTGTGCTCTGGGCTTCCGCTTCAGGTCCTGGGGCTGCCACCAAAACTACTTTTCCCAGAATTCCTGGTGCTCCCCATGCTCTTGGTTTTCCCTTCCTGCTCTGTCTCCATCCATGGCCTCCCACTCTGCCAAGTCCTCCAAGCTGCCAGCTTTCCCTCTCTGGTCTCCGTCTGGTGGCTTAGGGAGCCAAGTTCCCCAAGCCACTCCACTCTCTGCTGGTTCTCCCATTCTGCTCTCCGCCTGGCACCATCATTGGTGGGTTAGTTTGCATACTCGCTCCTGATTGGCTGGTGAGCATAGCAGAGGGACAGTCAATTTACATGATTCTCTTTTATTATATGGGATAATGAACTATCAGAAAGAGAAAATGCCCTAGCCAGTTTGGTTCAGTGAATAGAGCACCCGCCTGTGGACTGAGGAGTTTGGGGTTCAATTTCGGTCAAGGGCACATGCCCAAGTTGCAGGCTCGATTCCCCTAGGGGGTGTGCAGGAGGTTTCACTCTCATCATTGATGTTTCTATCTCTCTTTCCCTCTTCCTTTCTCTCTGAAATCAATAAAAATATATTTTAAAAAATAAAGAGATACTAAGAAAACAATACCACTTACTATTGCAACAAAAAATAAGGTACCTAAAAATAAACTTAACCAAGGAGGTAAAAGATCTATACTCAGAAAACTATAGGACATTGAAAAAGGACATAGAGGAAGATACAAACAAGTGGAAGTATATACCTCTAGTGCACAATGAACATTCTCAAAGATAGACCACATGTTATGACACAAAAGGAGTCTTAACAAATTCAAGAAAGTTGAAATCTTGGATTGGAAAAATTAACATCATTAAAATGTCCATACTACCCAAAGAAATCTATAGATTCAATGCAATTCTGATTAAAATACTAATGGCATATTTCCCAGACCTAGAACAAATATTCCAAAAATTTATATGGAACCCAAAAATACTGAGAATAGCCTCAGCAATTTTGAGAAAAAAAGAGCAAAGTTGGAGGGATCACAATAGCTGATATCAAACTATACTACAAAACCATTGACTCAAAACTTCCCGGTACTGGCACAAGAACAGACATATAGGTCAATGGAACAGGACAGAGAGCCCAGAAATCGACCCATGTCTTTATATTCAATTAATATTTGACAAAGGAGGCAAGAACATACAATAGAGTAAAAATAGTCTCTTCAATAAATGGTGCTGGGAAAATTGGACAGATACATACAAAAAAATGAAACTAAACCACTAACTTACACCATACACAAGAAAAAACTCAAAATGGAAAAAAGACTTAAATGTAAGTCTTAAGACCATACAAACACTGGATGAAAACAAAGGCAGTTAAATTTCGGACATCTTTGCATAGCAATATTTTTGCCAATATGTCTCCTAGAGCAAGGGAAACAAAGGAAAAAGACATAAACTGAGACTACATCAAACTAAAAAGCTTCAGCACAGCAAAATAAACCATCAACAAGGGGAAAAGGGAACCCACTGCATGGGAGAACATATTCCCCAATGATATGTGTGATAAGAGGTTAATATGCAAAATACATAAAGAACTTAGACAACTCAACACCAGAAAGACAAATAATCCAATTAAAAAATGGCAAATGGCAAATGACCTGAATAGACACTTCTCCAAAGAGCACATACAGATGGCCAATAGTATATTAAATAATGCTCAACATCACTAATCATCAGAAAGATGCAAATTAAAACAATGAGGGATTACCTCACACCTGTCAGAATGGCTACCATCAGCAAATCAACAAATGACAAGTGCAGGGGAGGATGTGGAGAAAGAGAACCCTAGTGCATTGTT